ATAAATGCCATCAGTCATATTGTGAATTTAGAATCAGTCCTACCCCCAGCTATTTCAATTTCATTGACACAGATTACAACAGCCCATATAAAAAATGAAATGACTGGATAACTTTGCATTTTTCGACTGCTTGTGGAAGGATGTTACATTAGCTTAACATGTTAGCACCTTATGTTGTAAGAGCTGGTGTGAAAATAATCCAGCTTCTTGGCTTGGTTCGGCTACCACTGGGGAGCAGAGGGCATTGAAACAGCAGAGGTGATAATTGTAGATGAGTTGAGACGTGAGATCAGTCAGAAAGTCAAGCAGATAACCTTGACATTTAGGCCGCTGGTGTCGAAGCCCCACAGAGGCTGCAGCGTGAGACCAGAGGGCCCGGTGTCTTCTGAGCAGGACTACATTAAGAGCTAACCTATTAGTCGAGTTGTTGCTGGCTGACTCTGAGCCACACTCTCCTGACTATTAAAGCCTAGCCAAACGTAGCCACTGAGTAAATACACTGAAGCACACACACACACACACACACACACAAGTGCAGGAACACACAAACAGATGCACATCTTGTTCCTTCTCCTTTTCTCCGAGTGGCCGCGGGGATCCGGTTACACCTGCTTGCACATCTTCTAGCAATTAGGAGCAATCTGGTTGAAAACATTTCACGTTCAAGGTCTTCCCCAGCTGTGGCAAGAGGAGCCGGACGTTTATAGAACTATAAAGGTCTCTCTGTTGATGGGCCTAAGCAAACAACGCTGGCCCATTTCTCACTGACTCCTGATGGAGACACCCTGAACATTTCCCCCCTGAGCATTTCCCCCTCAACATCTGGGGTCTCTGGACTTTTTATCACATTCACTTTCTATTTGTCTGTCATTTAGAAAATATGATGTGAGTGGTGTGTGTCTGCCACACAAATTCTCTCAGATCCCTTTCCTTCATGCACAGTTAGATTTGGCCTTTTGATTGTTACTGTGGGTCAGAAAAGGCATAAAATGAGGAAAAAGAATACATATCTCAATTATGTCGTTTTTTTGTCGTAGCAGGAAAAGGTGCAGTGTGGGATTCAGCAGAGAGAGCAGGCTTCACTGTGTGGCAATGCTCTGAGCTGGGATTTGTAAGACACCCAGAGCTGGCTTTAGCAGCAGGAAACCCCAAAGCCTGTAAATAATCCACATGTGCAGACTGCACATAAAGACATCCAGTACTTAGCAGTTCCCTTATCACAGCGTGATAGCCCAGGGACATAAGAGACGCTACTGCCTCTACTCACTAATATGGTGTGAAAGTAGATGCAGATAAAACGCCTGTTGTTTATTGAGGAAGTTGCGTTAGCATGGAGAAGAGGGGGTGAACTTTGAACACATTTGAACACAAATGGGGAATATAAAAGAGGACTGCAAATGACAAGGATACCAAATCGCACTGGCTTCATTTCTGATAAAACCTTTGTCATGTGCTGGAGGCTGTTTTCTCATCAAAAGCACCTGGAGGGTTCACTGCCTCCATGGTGTGTGTGCGTGTGTGTATTTGTGTGCACGCACACCCACAAACAGTGAATGTATATATGCTGCGTGGATGTAGGTGTATCTCTGCAGTTGGGTGCTTATTCCAGTAACAAGCTTGCCTCACAAACAACCTTAGTTTGTGATTAAAACAGGGCTACTGTTGTCTTGTATGCTTACACACAAGGTGATGTAACCTACACGCAGTGTATCACAAATCCTGATTTTTTTGTGTCTTTTGTAAATGTTTTTTTCTTTTATCTCAATGAGTACACATTTTACTCATACATCCACCCAGTTGATCATTTTCCCTGTGTACATCTTTATCTGGCCTGAACATTTATTTTTTTGTCACTGATGAGTTTAACCTCATCTGTCTCTTAATTTTAACTATTACACTAATTTCTCTGTGCTTCACATGCTGTGTGCCTGTCATCAGTTTCCAGTTTATCACAGTTGACCAGAGTAGCTCTAACGCGTGCACGTCTATCAAGTGTCCAGTACCTTTGAATGGAAGATCAAAAGAGGATAAATTCCAGAGGAGGAGAGCGAGGGGGACTCTGAGCTAGAGGAGTGGTTGCTGTGTAAACATCGCAGTGACAGTTCACAATAGGTTATTTTAGCTCAGCATTAGGCCTCTCAAAAAGCATGCCCAGCTCCACTGGCCTTTCTAAAATATAAACATGACAGCAACATTCCTAAACGTGGAGCAGACCTCACAGCACAGGTTCTCAGCCCACTCGCCTTTTTGTCTCATTATTTTCTATACCAACAACAGCGTTTTACTCATCTTGCATCTAAAGTTTGTGAAGCCAACATATCCAGGCATGTGCTGTCAGGCAAATGAACAGAAATCACATTCCTGCCGATGTCAAAATGAGCATTGAAAATGTTTGTGTATGATCACATAATTATTTCCCTAAGTTTAATAGGAGGAATAATTTATTGAAGCTGTTGACATGAAAAGCAGGATGCTTATGTTCATTTTACTATACATGTCTGGACACTGTGACTGTCACTCATGTTACCGCAGTTTTGATTGCATAATTAATACTCTGCAAACAACCTTACTTTGATTGATGTAATGACATAATTTGTCGTATGTTTATATTACAAAATGGTCATAGCATCAAGAATGAATGTACTTTTTGAAAGCCCATTGCTTTACCAGTGCACATGTTTATCTTCATGTGGTGATCATTGAGCGGGTTTGCTGCAGATGATAATGAAGGAAGACTTCCCAGAAATGTATTTCTTCATCCATTACTGTGTGAATTTCCTATCATATCCTGTTGACTCAACTCTCTTTGTTCCAACACCCTCGGTTGTAAACCCAGACAGACACACACCACACACACATTTCACTGCATGTGTCATCAGTTACAGGGAAAAAGAAAACAGCGAACTTTGTTTACTCTTCAGTGTGCCCGTAATACCACGCCTTGGGCGTTGTGAATGATTTTGTTACCGTTTTTTGAATTGTCAGCGTTTCACTGTCTTAGTCATTCGAGTTAACTTTTAGTTTATGATTAATACTAGCTAACACTTCAAAAATTATTTGTTCATTTGTTGATTAGTAGAGCTTCTAATTTAATGTTAATGTTATGAATATTGCTTTAAAAACTACTGACTTTCGTAACTTTGGTGTTGTGATGTGATGCTGAAATATCTTACTTTTAGTTTTATTCTGTGAGTTGAAATCATTGTGACTTTCATAATTCTTTTCCAATAAAATGTTGGAATTTAAAAAAACTTAATTACTTTGAATTAATTTATAAAACAATAGGCATTTTCATATGTCAAGGACTTTCAGTAACATTTTGTACCAAATATGAAATATTGACCTGCTTTTAATAATTAAAATAATGAAGAAAAATATAACCTTGCGTTAGCACTTTTCCGATTCCCTCCCCATGTCACTTCAGTTCACATCATGTTTTTGTTGCTGATTTTTCGACCAGATTGTAAGTTGCACTGGAGAAAAGGCTAAATGCCCAAAATGTAGATATTGCCGTCATGTGTGGGAGGGAATCTTGCTTACATCTTTCTTGGTTTCAATTTATACACTTACTATATGAGTAAACGTGCTTACGGGGGGCTTCCCCTACACAAATTTCAAAGCAGAGGACAATTAGGCATGCAGAATGAGATATGTTGCTCTACCGTCATTTATCTTTACATGAGAGCATAAAGAAAGACAGAGACAGACAGAAAGAGGGAGAATTTATGTACTTTAAAGTTAAGCATGGTGAAATGCCAGGAGTGTGGCCTCTTTGTAGCCTGCGGTCATATTTATGCCTCATGATGTCATCCAACAGCCGTGTGTTTGGGAGGGTCAACACATACACCCACACACAGACCATCACACAGCTGTTCTCTCCATCCCCTAACTGTCTCTCTCCCCTTTTTGTCTTAAAGTATTGTCAGACTTTACTGGCAGTAAGACCAGTTCTCATAGTAATCTCTGTCTCTTCATCCATCCACATTGCTTTCTGTTTGCCCTCCCTGTAGATAACTTACTTTCACACAGTCTTACACAGGTTTCACTCACTTGTTCACATGTCGCCCTAACTTTTTCCTTTTTTGTGTTCTCTCTCTCTCTTTCATTATCGTCTTGTCAAACATTCCACCGTTTACTTTTACAATTTCTGAACTTCTCAAATCATTGACCGGAGAACGTATAGATTGTCCCGTCCGAGAGATGAGCGTCAATGTGCCCCCGACTGTTTGTTTAATTGTGGGAGCAATCGTCTGAGGAACATGGAAAGAATGAGGCCAGTTATTTACCCAGATGGTTTACTGGTGGAGGTGTGAGACTGGCCAGCTCACTGTGGGAACACAACGCTTGCTTTTCTTGGTATCGCTGACCGTTTTCAAGACCACTGTGTTTTTTTCCCCCAGCTCTCTCCAGCTTTGTTTGCTCTGGATGGCATGTTTGATTATTTATCGTAAGGGAAAAGGGAGTAGCTGGAGCAATAAACATGTGACTGCACTGTATTTTGTTTTCCACTGAGAGGCCGTGTCCTTTAACAGATATTTGAAGCAGCCATAAAGTTTTTTTGGGGGGGGGGGGGGGTTTGACTGAGCTAAAGGAGGATCAAAAGCACTGATTAGTGTCTTTGTGACAATTTGTGTTTGCTGTAAGTGCAACTTATTAACAGATAAATATTTCTTCTGGATGGCTGCAGTTGATTTTTTTGTCTTCTTTCTGCCTGTGAATTTGTTTTGACATCTGATCATTGTTCCCTCTCTGTTTGTGGAGGGATTGTTTATGCCAGCGTTAGATTTATGGCTGAGTGGCTGAATGGGAGCGTATGAAAAAGATGGTGTGTAGTGTTTGTTTGTTATCTAGCAGAAGGCCAAGGGAATATTGTTGTAACGGGATACATCTGCTCTGATAATAGGCAGCAAAGTGTTCTCAAGGGTCTTTTAGCATATCTACATCTAGCCTTTCCATCAGACTTTAACAAAAAAATCTTTTTATGTATTTCTCTCTATTAGGCTCTCCAAGTAGCTCGGCAGATACTCCTTCAGCAGCAGCAGCAGCAGCAACAACAGCAACAGCATCCCCAGTCACAACTGCAGTCTCAACCAAACACTGGCCGCAAATCCCCCAAAGACAGCGACAAGCAGCAAAGCCTACAGGTAGCATAAATATGTTGTCATTCTGAGACACCCTCCTATTTATTAACTCATGATTATCAGATGGCTCGGTTATTTGACTTTGCGGTTGATAAAATAAAAAAAAAAATGAAGTGAACTTTTGCAACTCTCTCTAGAACACAGTGTGCGAGAAACAGCACTAGTCTAAGTTCACAAACAGGAAATTAAAATTGGCACTGCAACATTTGCAGTTATGTATGCTCGCGCATTATGTGTGATTTAGCAGCACACACACAGGCACACACACAATCAGCCATGTGTCATCAAAATCTTAACACAGAACATTAGAAGCAGCAGTGCATATAAGGGCACTTTTGTGAAATATATAAGCCTGAAAAGCCTCTGTGAGGCCAGTTTAGATCATCCTGTAGTACCACAGTCAGGGAAGGAACACACATCAGCATGTGTAGCTGATCCTGAGTTTTTGCAGTGGAAAGGCCTTTTTTATTGACTGCACTTGGTTTAGGAGGTGTGCAGCTTGGGTAAAAGCAGGTGAAAGTGTGGGAATGAGGGAGAATAAAAGGGGGAAGTGAGAGAGTTTCATTCCTCCCACAGAGAGACAGAGAGAAGTGAGTCTGGTCAAGCAGAGGAAACTCCATGCTTTCCCTGTTTGCCTTTCATTACTGCTCTTCATACACTGTACACACACACACACACACACACACACACACAAAAAGGAGGCATGTGCCTACCACCAGCAGCAGGAGGTGCTAGAGAGCAGCCCACGAGAGGGGTGGGTGATCCAGGTGGAGTAGAGATAGACAAGCGAGGGGTGGGAAAGTGTGAGGGTGGTGAGAGGTAAAGAGGCAGTAAGACAGTTATTTTGACTGCCTTTGTGGTGCAAAAAAAAAAAACAGCAAGAAAAAAAAAAAATCTTGTTCTGCTTTTAATATGAACAGCGCTGCATATCTGATGCAATATTTACGTTAATTTCAGATCAGCTGCCTCAGAGATGTATATCTTTGTTTGAACAAGGAGCGGTTGTTTGTGTCGTGTGAAATTGCAAACGACTTCAGGGCATATTTGGTAATTAATACGGAGACCCTGTTCTCTATGTGTGTATATATATAATATTTAATACCCTTACTATCCCGTTGGGAGCCCTTTTTAATGAGCTATTGTAGCAGCTAGGTCTAATGTCAGGTTGTGAAAAAGCCTCTTTGTTGTGCAGATGTCTTCGGAATAGCTCCAGAGGATGAAATATGACTGTGATGACCTTTCAGTTGTGTGTATATTTGTCAGGATTCAAATAAGTTGAAAGGATCAAACTAAACAGTTTCCCCAGCCTGGCAGGGAATTGTGCTGCAGAGGTCAACAGAGGGGACCACAACGGCAGATTCCAGCGTACAGCCAGTTGTTGGTACATAGTGAAGTACTAGACCATCTCCTGCAGACAAAGACAAAATTAAAATTCTAATTTATTAATGTATACAGAGAGCTTGGCCAAGCTGTCACTCAGCTATTGAAAAGAGAGTCGGGCCCTTTCCCCCGCTTCCCCTCCCCTCTCCTGCCCGGTTCTTGTGAAGAGAGCACAGGCTTCCTCTAGTATCTAACTAACACTGTAAATTGCCTGCTCTCTAGTGTTGTGTGTTACATTTTGCTGGGTTGAAACTACCATTATGAAAAAGCCACAGGTCCAGACAAGTGTTTGTTTATCTCTGAATTACATATTCTGCTAATTAAACACTCCCTAACCACATACGCACGTACAGTTTGAAGTTGTTCGTAGATAAACATCAGTGTGCCGTTCTGTGTGAGGATGTATTTCATTTGTTTTTGTTATTTCTCTTCTCATGGTTTTCTTGTGGTGAGATTTGACTTGTTTTCTCATTTTTTTTTTTCTCACACTGTCTCTCTCACAAAAACATTTTGTGAAACACCAGAGGGTAACGGTCTGAGTCTCTTCTCACTTCCTCTTTTAAGAACAAACCCGTGCTTAGAGGAGCCCCCTTCACACAGAACATTCACTCTATCGCCATCCTACAGCCTGGATAATGATTCTCTGTTGAGCTGGACTGGGTCATCAAAAGACATGATCCAACAATTATGAGGCTGTGTAGTAAGCTGACACCCCATAAAAGCACCTGATCTGCAGACGAGGCTCCATTCATCTCAGAGGTCTTCCCATTAGGCAGAAGGAGATGTGCAGAGAGACTTTTACTCATTTGGAGATGTGACTCACTTTCCAATTCAGTCTTATTCAAGTCAAAAATAATGAAGCACGGTATATACAGAACATCTGATAAAAAATGACCTGCATAGAGTACTAAAGGGGAGAAATATGAGTCAAACAAGCCTCAGAATCCTTGATCAGCATTAAATGGCTCTTTGGTTTTATATCCTCAACAGGGGTTGAGGATATAAAACTCTGGACTCTGGATGAAGATGCCTCTGCTGTATACTCAGCAGCCTTAGAGTCACTTTAATCAGACTAGATATACAAACAGCTGCTGTGCAGGCTGGAAAGCAGCTAAACATACTTGACTGGTCAAAAAGCCAGTAAATTACGTTGACAGAATGACACGTGTGATTAAAAGAATCCAGTCCGCTTTTACCTTCGGTGCTTCACACCTACAGTGGCACAACGACAAGAGCCGGCAACTTCCACCCCGCTAATTACCATTATCAGTGAAATGGTAGGGTTTGACTCATTAGTTCCATGTGCATTTAATTAGAGGCAGGCTGAAATTGGATTTAACTTATTACTTTTTCATGGATCACTTTCTTGTCATCACTTCAAATTGGATTGCAGCCCCAGGTAACTAATTATGCCAGCCGCAGGATCAGGAGTGGAGAAATAGGTAATTAGGAACAACACTGTCGGACCCTCGCTGATAGTCCACCAAGCACCAAGGTGGGAGGAAGGGGGAAATTGAAGCTCATTTGTGGCGTTGCTCACAAGCGTGGCTGGTTAACTATACCTCATTGCAAGAGATCCTAGGTAGGCATCCACCTCCTACAGGGGATTATGTGGCATTCAGCTGGGCTGAAGATGTTGTGTCAACATGGTGTCTTTGCTATCAGTGTAATGCCCAGATTATGCTTGTTTCCCATCTGGGATTGTGCCTGAGATAGGGCTGGGCAATAAAACAATAATGATAATTATCGCAATATAATTTTCCTCAATAACAATATAACAAATCAGTATATCAATAAATGTCAATAAATGTTTTATTTAATTTATTACGATCGAATTAGCACTTTATTTTTCTATTAAGATATTTATTTTGTTGAGGAAAAGGGACTGAAAAACGATTTTACTTAATTTTACTAAAGCATTTTTTTTTTCATTCATTCAAGATTTTATCATAATTGTATTGAATGTTCTATCTCAAATTTGTGAAGTGATCCGCTGTTTGTCAAGTGTTTGTTGTGTTCTGACCATAAAGAATAGTTTAAACCTGATGAAAGAAACAATGATTTGACATTTATCGTGATAATTATCGATATCGAAAGGTATGAATTTTTATTGTGATTTTTGGCCATATCGCCCAGCCCTAGCCTGAGATTGGCCTTCATTATTCATGTCACTGGTACAGTGTGAGGTATGGCCAGCAGCCAGCTGAAGTTACCTGTGTGGACACTGCTTGAATGACATTGACTGGTTTCTGTCTGTAGTATGTCTGCGCTGATGGTAATGAGAATACATGAATGGTTCGTTTGATGAGAGGCAGGTGGATAATGTAGGAGAGTAAAAATATACTTAATACATCTAGCTTTAGTTTAAGGCAGTTTTTACGTGTGATTCAGAGCAGAGCTATTTAACTTATAGAAGGTATAGCAAAAAATGATAGAGCGTGCATGTTTCATCTTAAAGTGAAGAGCTTCGTAAAGAGTTTGAAGCTCAATGAGCATCTCTATCCATTGGGTTTCATTGTTTTTTGTATTTATTGTACTTGTGTGATGGCCTTTTGTTTTTAAATGAGAAGCACTATTCACTATTCCTGATGAATGTTTTTTATTGAACATTTTTCATGATGTCAAAGGTGCATCACTTGTTATTCTTCACACACGCAGAAACTACTGATAATGTTTCAAAACCATGCCAGCAGAGAATTTTCTTATCAGTTACATTACCAGTTAAAGCCACACTTATTTCTCCTTTCCTTTTTTCTCCCTCCTCTCTCTGTGTTTTCACACCATAGGGTACAGGCTCACAGAGGGCATCTCCAGGTCAAGAGATAATGTCTTTTCAGTTTACAGGATGAAAGCCTTTTAAGTTGTAGAGCGCCCCTCCAACTCGCCTCCTCCCCACGTTTGCTCTTCACATCCTTCATTTGTGGTCTGTTGGGGGGGGAGCGTGATATGACACAATCCAGGGGCCAAGCCTCTGTCTGACAGGACAGTGAGAAGCCGCCAGCTCTCCTTCTCTCCTACTGTTTTTGCAGCGGGCCCATGGCATTGTCCTGACACATGTACACCACGGCGCTCCAATCTGTAAGTCATTAGAGCACTAGGCCGAAGCCTGTCAGCTGGAACTCAGCCAGTGCTGCAGGGCGATCTGAGGCAGCATTTCGAGGTGTTCCTGCAGCCCAGTCGGCCAGTGGCCCAAAGTGGCACAGCAGTGGTAGCCCACTGGCGAGGTGACAGTGAGCACAAGACCGGATTAATGTTCTGGGTTAGTTACTGCGAGCTAAAGATTCTCTTTACACAAGGAAGACTGGGTCAAAACAACAGGAGTGTATTTATATTCTGTCTATATTCATATAAAATACATGTAATACAATTTTAGACTAGAAATAATGCTGATATGAAGAAGAAGAGGAGTGCTGAACATAGAGAGACATTAGAATGAGTGGTGGCACTGAAGCACTGAACCAAATCAAAGTATTGCCAATTTCTAATTAATTCAATTAATGACACAAGTAAGTGGTTGGAGTAAAACCACAATGTGTTGTTTTTACACTTACGTTTTTGTACATCTTAAATAAATGACATAGAATGTGTTTAGTGAGCTTTAGAGGTGCTGGTACGTGGATTTT